CACCCCTGTACGTCCTTGATGTTTGGCCGACACTCATCTGCCCAACAAAAGTGAAAAACATTCCACCAAATGAATTCATACATATACAGAGCATTTAAAGAGAAAGACTTTTATTTGTAAATATTTATGCAGTAATGGAAAATTGATAAAACATGTGATTAAATTTTCATGTATGTGATTTACATTTTCATATATGTGAGTTACATATATACATGATTCCTGAAGTTATATTTGAGTTACACCTTCTCATCCACGAGTTACATAATTTTATGCTTGAGTTACATTATTTTATAAGCGAGTTACATCTTCTGAAGCGCAAGTTACATTTGTCATCAACGTGAGTTACATTTCTAATAACATGAGTTACATAAAAAAGTAACCCCCTGCTATTGAAACAAACAATTTTTTTAAAAATCCGAATAATGATCATGATATTAAAAACAAAACATATTCACGATTTACGTAAAGTAATTGTGTGATTAGATTTTTTTTTCATTGTTTACATTGAAATCAATGTTTTATTTCTTATAGTATGGACTTGATAAGTTACATTTTGAAAGACTTGAGTTACATTGATCAACAACGTGAGTTACATATCTTTGCACGCGAGTTACATCATTCATACTACTGGGACAAAAAAAAAGTTACTGTACACACGTGTATTGTTCACGCGTTACTGTTCACGCGATTTTTTAAAAAAAAATGTGCAAAACTACGTCGTTTTGGATGTGGGAGCACAGTGCTCACCGTGGAGTGATACCACGGTATACGAACTCACAAATTTGTGTATACATCAGTAAAAGTGTAAAGCAAGTTAGACTCACGCAAATCATGCAAAAGCAAGCATAGGCTCAGGTTCGGGATTTATTTGAAAACGATTCCAATAAATTATCTGATCCGAAAGATGAAAAAATGTCAATCTAGGACCTAACATTTCATAGGTTTTGGTTTGTTTATTTTTTTTATTAATTTTGTTGCTAATTTTTTATAAACTTTCTTCACAAAAGTTTATTAGTTTAATAAAACTAAATCATATTTAATTTTTTTAAATAAAATTCATGACAACTTAGGCCCTAGTTTGATAGTTTTCAATCATTCAGGTCCAAAATTGATAGTTTCTTATCATACAGAGGTCCTCCTTTTAACTAAAGAATTTGTGATTTCAGTTAATTCTTTTTCCTCTGCACATACCTAAATCATACAGTTTTTACTTTATTAATTGTCGTGTCTGTCAAACTTGGCAAAGTTTTATGTTAGGATGGAGTATCACATAACGGAATATTTAAGAGTATCAAGCCAGGCCTTAAATTTACAAATGATATACTATCGTAGAATTTATCTAGAATTCATAATAGGGATAAATGTTCTAAAATTAATTAAGCATCTGTTATCAAGTTTTTGAAGAGGTTAAATCGATTCTACATAACACGACTCCAAATCAGGTTGTCCCATTTTTTAAAAAGAAAACTCGTTAGTATATTATATTGTTGGAACATTATATGTTGTGATTCAATTTGTATTTCCCTTTCTCTCTCTTTTATTTACCTAGTATAGCTATCTTTATTTTATTCAAGTTAGACTAGCTTTTTCACTTTGCCCTAATATGTTTAGGAACCAATAATATTGTAATGATTTCACATTATTGCCCAGTGTGTGTGTCTATATATATATATATATAGAGGAATGCTCCTGTCCAGACGTCCGGACAGGAGCCGCCGTCCGGCCGGCGGCGTTTGGCCGCCTTCCCGGTGGAATTTTTTGATGAAATTTTTATGGCATGTTCTCCATCAAGTCTAGTTTATCCACAAAAAAATTCAGCCAAAAACTCAATCGGGAAGGTCGTCAAATGATTTTTGCAAGTTAACTGGTCCGGAATATGTATTTTCCGGACCAGTTAACTTGCAAAAATCATTTGACGACCTTCCCGATTGAGTTTTTGGCTGAATTTTTTTGTGGATAAACTAGACTCGATGGAGAACATGCCATAAAAATTTCATCAAAAAATTCCACCGGGAAGGCGGCCAAACGCCGCCGGCCGGACGGCGGCTCCTGTCCGGACGTCTGGACAGGATCTTTTCTATATATATATATATATATATATATATATATATATAAATTGATGATTTCAAGTATTTGAAAACACAGTATAATTTTTACCAAGTCAGAATCTATTGAATATGTGGGAGTTTGTCAGGTGCCACTAACAATAGAAATCAACGCTTTAATACTTATACGAAGTATACTACAATGCAAGGGCGGCCCTAGGGGGTGAAAGCGGGGCGGGCGCCCTAGGCCCAAAAAAATGGGTAAAAAATAGGTCCAAGTTTATCTCTTTGTAATATGTGTGAGTAGGCTGATTTTTCAGCCCTAAACTAACATTTTTCGGGTTAAATTTGTTGAAACTCTTTGGAATGGATTTTTTTGGTGAAAACTTATGATCATGCTCTCTATAAAGTGTGAAATATGTAAAAAAAAAAAAAAAAACCAGTTTAAAGTTCAATTTAGAAGTCAGTAAAATAAATAATTGAAAACACTGCGTTTTTATACATAATTTGGCGAATTATTTTCAGTAGTTTATTTAACTGACTTCACGGTTGAATTTTAAGATGAAATTTTATAGACATAATCTAAACTTGATGAAAAATATTCTTTACAAATTTCATAAAAAATCTAGTCTAATATGCTTATTTGATTAGTTTACTAATTTAATTGTTTTCATTCATAGTTGATTATTTGATATCTTAATTGTTGATTGTTTTCTATTGAGTGTTGGTGTACGACTTAACTTGTTGATTTCGTTAGACAAACATTTTCAATTATGATAAAATTTATAAATTTAATTAATTTCAAGGTGTAAGAAAAAGGATTGAATCTGAATAGGATAAATAAAAAAGAGGAGAATATTAGAGAAATTGGCGCTATATAAAAAAGTTTTATGGAAAAATTTGTTTGTGTAAAGAGTTAATTCCTTAAATATGACTTAAATATTGTTAAAGTGTACAAATAGAAACATCATTATATTGTTTCATTCCTAAATATAGATCACCAATACTATAATATTGATTTAGACATAATATGATTTTACAAATTTTTATAAGTGTCTTGAAATATTACTATTATTATTATGCATGTGAGTTTAGATAGAAAAGAGTTCTACAATTTTTTGTAACATTATGCTCATTTTAATTTTTCACCCCTAGGCCTTTGAACGTACAGGGCCGTACAGGGCCGCTCCTGCTACAATGTTAAGGATACAATAGATTTTATTAAAACAAATAGCAGCACTCTGAGCCTTCAAGATCATATGAGATAAAATAGACAAAAACAGTTTGTTTAGATCACCGCTCTTTAGAAAGAGTTGCATGATGATCATTTGGAGAGTTCTATCAATGTCTTGATGTCAAAGACAATCCTACACTGAAACAATCAAAATAGTAAATAAATAATAATGAGGTTCCTAAAAAGAGTGCAAGTGTGTGGTAGCTTATATTTTGTGTTAATATAAAGGAGGCATCTTTTCAATTGTTAACCATAATGATCTTAAATCAAGTAAGCACAAATAGCATATTCAGATTAACCTATTTCAGAAATATCAAAACATTGAGAACTTACATTTAGAAAAGATGGGTCTTTGGTAGGCATGGCAATAGGTCGGGGCGGGGCGGGTACTGCAAGACCCGAACCCGCCCCGTGACTTCACTTAGTGGACCCGCCCCGTGACCCGCACGGGTCCAAACTTGTTGACCCATGACCCGCCCCGCCCCGTCGTAACCGAATTAGCTAGTATGCATTTCTATTTTTGTGAAGTTGTTACCACTTGAATCTTTATAAAGTTTATCTAAATAATTATTAAAAAAATAATATATTAAATCAAAGTCGCAATACACTAAAAATTTCAAAATTTTTAAAATAATTCTTAGACTGAAATATTTAATCTATTAATAGTACTTAAAATGTTATATATATATATATATATATATATATATATATATATATATATATAAGACATTGATAATCCATCGTTCATGTCATTCAAATTTAAATTTTAATATTTAATAAGACTAACAAATTTATGATTTATTATATACACATATGTATGTAGAATTATATTTGTAATATAATTTTTTAAAACAAGTATGTATAGTACTCTAACTGAAAATAATAAAAACCAGTACAGTACTGGCCTAGGAGATAATGAGAACTTTCTAGCTACTTTGTACCTTTCAAATATGGATGCTTTCTAGGTTTGGATATTTCTGCATTCTGGATGCAAAGACCCTCTCAATCACATCATACACAGTCAAGACCTTTGGGAGTATGATAGGGAAAACTCACACAAATAGATGGACTAAACCCATAAGAACCTACCATATAATAAAGTTATAACATTTGGACAATATATAGAACATGTAAATGAAAATAGGATGTCATTTGGTGGACTGTATGACTCATAAATTTTCACTCAATCCATTAGTGGCAAATTTATAGAACTTGAAAGCATGTGAGTTAGTCAAAGTTTCAATCACAGAAAGCTAATTTCTCATTTCATAAAATCAAATAGGGTAAATTAAAATTGAGATTAACTATTGAAGCTAAACATGATTTAGTTCCACATAGGTTAAAAATCCACGCCCGGATAGCATCTCCAAAGTTGAACTCCATCAATTTCATTCCTAACGGAATGAGCCTAACGGAGGTTTGGAGTTAAGTCCATTTGAATAAATTAGCAAATATCCTAAGGATCTATTAGCAAATTAAGATAAAATTAAAACTTACGCAGAACACATGGCAACCTTTTATTAGTCCAGCTGTTACAGGTACGGTACCTGCAAGTTTTTCAAAGGTACCATTAGTTGTCACTGTTTTGACACAAACGGCGGCTCCATAACTGTTTTGGCAAAAAAAAAATTCCTCTGTGTCTATCGTGAATCAAGGACAAAGCAGATTAAAGTTAACTTTCTCGGCCGTAACTTCTGATCGTTCAGCGTTTAGACATGTTCTTTCATTCCATATTTCGGATATAATCAATTCCAGGAGTGGCATAGCTTTTCGAGCACGGCTTCTCTGTCTTCGATCGCTGAAATTTCTTTCTCTGATTTGATAGAAAAGGTAGAAGAGTGAAAAAACTAAGAGATATGGGGCAAGCCTTTAGAAAGCTCTTCGATGTGTTCTTCGGCAACTCTGAGATGAGGGTAATATGCACATGAAGACAGCGATACTTGAAACTTCTTCCCCTTTTCTCTGCATCTTCATTAATTTTACTGGGTTTTCCCTCTCGCAGTAGTCTCTACTTGTTTATCACTCCCTGTGCAGCTGTGCTATGCTCCATAGACTGATTGACAATTCAATTGTTGACTTTGTTATTTTTCTTAATCTAGATCTGCCTCTCAGTTTTTTTATTTTACGTAGCTGTTTTATGACTTCTGATTGGGAGATGAATGCTTTTCTTTTTATGTAGGCAAATTTTCATATTATTTAGCTTAAACAAGGAAGTATACTCTCTCTTGCATCTGATTTTTTGAATTCTGAAGTTGTCAAAATAAGTGCATACCCCCCTTATAATACAGAGCAAAAAGGTTTTTTATTCAATATTGTATTCTAAGAAATTTAGAAAGTCCTTGTTTCTATTCACCATTAAAAAGGGGTTTTTTGGTTAGTTTGTTTAAAAAATAAACAAAGATTTATTCATTATGCTAACGTTGCTGATTTAGGATCCTTGAGTGTGCTGTGTTTGTAGATCAGTGGTTGTTTGATGGGATGCGACTGTGAGAGCACTATAGCTAACTCACTCACAGTTTTTTCTATCTCCATTGTGAGTTTCTGATTATTTTACGGGTACAGGTTGTGATGCTTGGGCTTGATGCAGCTGGAAAAACTACAATATTGTATAAACTGCACATAGGCGAAGTTCTATCAACAGTTCCCACCATTGGTAAGTTTTTAGCTTCGTGAAATATAGAGCTCTGTCAAGGTGGAAAAGTTGTGTTCTGGAAAGATTGAATTTATTGCTAGGGAGTGACTATAAGGAAGTGCAAATATTGTATACCTGGAAAACGATTATCTGTGGACTGTGGGTGGTTGATAGTGATTGAGAGTCTTCCTTTGTTGTGGTTTCTTGTATGATTAGTTGTCTAGTTCGTATATATTGCCCCTCAGGACCTTTTATCTAAACTGGACAATATTATTTAAGATCTTATCAAATTCAGATCTAAAGTCCATTTAAAAACGCTTCTTTCAGCATCTTCATTACCATATCTTTTGAAATCCTCATTACCCTCAATCTGGATAGAGGATGGTCACAATATCCATTGAGCCTTCATTCCTTCCGAATCCAACCTCAATTCCACTTCGTTTTGGGCTATATTAGTTTCCAATTTTTTATTACTATTTACGGTTATGTCTTTGCCCCAATTCATGTTAGACAAATACTCATCTAAGGTATTCTTTTACTCTCCGAACCTCTAAGAAGTCTAGGATACTAGTCTCTTCTTCAGCTGTGATTAATTCACCATATGTTATTAAATCATCATCTTTCCCTCACTAGAAATGTTTGTTCCTCTTCAGTTGACATATCTTTTTCTAGCTACTCAACAGATGTTAAATTTTTAGTCATTTTTCCATTAAGTCTTAATTGAGCTACTCAGTGGATGTTAAATTTCTAATCATTTTCCATTAGGTCTTACTTGAGCATCAAACTGAACAAGCATTTGTTCTTCATGTATAAACTTCTCAAGAGCTGCACCATCTTTGGACCTCTCGGTACATCACCTATCTCACTTTGCTTTTCTCCTGCATTACTCTTAGCGGCTTATTTTGTTGGTCCATCCATATCAAACTTGCTCTTGGTTGCTGCTTCCTTTTTTGCCTTCAATTCTTGATCACTTCCTTTGAATCCTAGAGGCACATCTCCAACTTCCATTGATTTGGCTTTTTTCTTACTCATATGGATTATGTACTTTCCACACATGAGGTGAGCATGTAATTAAGTGACATGTAATCACATGGCTATTATATTCTGCTGGCACACAGGTTTCAATGTGGAAAAGGTGCAGTATAAGAATTGTATTTTCACTGTGTGGGATGTTGGTGGACAAGAAAAATTAAGGCCTCTGTGGAGGCATTACTTTAACAATACCGATGGACTGGTAAGTGGTAACTGCTTTTGATATTTTCAGAAAATCGTTGAACCAAGTTTTTGTTCTGTTTTTTGCCTTAAGTGTGTATTATACACATTTAGATTAACATCATCCTTAACTGTTTTAACTTCTAAGGATATTTTTTCTGCATATGTAGATTTATGTTGTTGACTCATTAGATCGAGAGAGGATTGGGAACGCAAAGCAAGAATTTCAGGTCATCTTTGATAAACTTATGGCTTATACTTGTTACTTTGAGTAATACATGGTGTTCACCCAATATTTTTTTACCATATCATCTGTACTGGTTTTGTATGCAGACCATCATAGGTGATCCATTTATGCTTAATGCAATTATCTTGGTTTTTGCTAACAAACAAGATCTGGTATGTCACTTACACATGCTTAAATGTTACGGTCATCCTCAACTAAAATGAGTATGTATTTATTTAGGCCATTACTAGGGGACCATGTCCGACCGCAGGTCACCCATATTTGGTAAAAACCTTTGTATAAAAAATTGATTAAAAAGTTATATGAAAGATTTTTTTATGGATATCTGAAAGACTTTTATTTGCCGGTCTACCACAAAAATCTATTCTGGATATCCTTGTGAATAACAAATACCTACATGGCCTCTAATTGACTATGCTTGTGATTTATTTGGTCAGAGAGGAGCGATGACAACAACGGAAGTTTGTGAAGGGCTTGGTCTCCGTGATCTTAGAAACAGAAAATGGCACATACAAGGGACATGTGCTCTTAAAGGGGAAGGGCTGTATGAGGGATTGGACTGGTTATCAAGTACCCTCAAGGAGCATAGAGCTGCTGGATTCTCTTCAATAGGAACTCCTACATTCTGATTAATCAAGGTAAACTTGGCAGCCTTGGTTAGGGGTGGGCATGGATTGTGTGTAACTCGGTTTTTTTCAGTCCCTTACAACACTAGAGTCCTAGATCAAACCAAATCAGACCACATCACACTTTATCAGAGCTCACCAAACTTAAACAGACTAAACTAAACTTAGATAAGCCAGACCAGAACAGGTCACTTTGCCATACTAGATAATTCCAGCCCAATCAAACAGAGCTTTAATCCAAAGATTTATCATTTTATATTTTTGTTGTTTGTACATCAATTAGACAATTATGCAATTTTGTTATTATTAGGGAAATTTCTCGAAACAAGAGTAAAAACAATTTGAGTACTATCATTTTTTCTAAACAGGAGTACTATGTTTTTTCCTGAAAATAGGAGTGGAGTACTATCATTTTTTCCCTAATAGAAGTGAAGTACTTTCATGTTGAAAGCATACTGCCATATGAGTATATGACATTACCAGGCATTAACATGAGTATTTTTCGGGGATAGTAATTACTTTTATTTAGGGGGGAAAGATAGCCCTAGTTAGGGAAACCACGTTGTTTTTACTCGAATAGGGGAATTTATTTTATTAATATTCAATTCAAATTATTTTGTTTTATAATGGAACGATGTAATTTATGAATTTCAAGTTTGGCCGACTCGATCCAAGAAACCCCAACCCTAGATAACCAAACTCGATAAAGACCCAAAATTTTTGTGTTGATTTTGGATCCCAAATCTCTACTTTTTCCCAGTTCTACTTAGGGGCTCGGGTTGAATTTGACCCTTGCCCTTGCCTACTGTGGTAGGGTTTTGTTAATTCATTCCTTTAATTCCCTTACTATGTATGCTATTTATCCCTTCACAGGTATTCTTGACTAGCCCAATGTAAAAGGGTAAAAAGCTGAGGACTGCGAATTCAATATAGTCAGTAGATTATCATGTATATAATATAATATACCTTTCATTGTTGCTGGAGAGAAAGGCTGCTACATTAAGATCAGTAAAGGCTGCTACATTAAGATCAGTATAATTAACTTGCACGCTATCTTTGACTCCGGTGTTACGGTGTATATCAGCATAACATGAGATATTGCGTCACGGTTGGCATTTGTTAGAAAAAAGTCTGTATTCCACTGTTCTGTAGCCTGTGCTGCCTTTTTGTGTATAGATTTTATACAAACTGTAACGGTGTGATTTTTTTCCTTTACTCTGGAAAAGAGGCTTGCACCCGAATTACCCATATGAATAGATGGGAAGAGATGAAAAGGTAGGTCCTCTTTTTACAGTATAAATCATTAAGGTGATCAACTCTGAAAGAACTAGTCACATAAAACTTGATTAATGATCTGTGACAGAGAATTATTTCATCCATGATGATGGTTAAGAATAGTGAGTTTTGATTGACGAATAGTGATGAAAGTTTTTTATGGCAGTGATCTTTTATGAACAGAAAACTTAAGCATTCTTTTTTTTGCTCGAAGAAGGCTTAATTCATAAAAATAGCATTCAATAGGGGGTAAAACTAGAAAAAAACCACAAATAATCATCCGCCCGTGGCCGAGACTGAAGCTAACCACCTGTAAAAAAGCAGTATAACTCGCTAGACCAAAATTGGGTAACTTTAAGCCAATGACGGTAATTGCAGACTTTTCCTTCCCCAACCTTAATGCAAGAGTCTTACAAGGAAAATAAGCATAGTAGAAAAACACAAAACGGAAATTAAAGTCAGCAAAACTAAAACAGACAAAGACAGAAATAAAAACACCAAAACAACGTTTCTTCATTCCAATGAACCAGCATGGACTCGGCGGGTCTAAGAGGTCTGACCCGCCCCCTCACCATTTTTTGCCCTCTCTAGTGTCATACCCTCTTCATTATCCTCGGCTTCAACCTGTTCATCCCAAACTCTCCTGCGTTTCAGTTCTCCATATGCCTCCTCTTTATCAGCCTTGGACTCAGCCGAGAAATCCCCCCGATATCAGACTTCCGCTGACCTTTGTAACCATCTGAACTAGAGGCTCCATCAGATAACCATTTATTAAATCCTGTAGGGTTGGTCTTCACTCTGCTATTCGCCCTAAGGTTTACCCCATATATTTTTTCAGCTACAAATCCCTCCTCATATTTCAAAGGGCAGAATTTGTCAGAATGCCCGATAATACCACAAATAAAACAGAAGCTAGGTAATTTTTCATATTTGAAGTCCACCCAATGCTTCACCCCATCCTGAGTCAGATTAGTACCTTTCTTTAAAGGTTGGCGAACATCCAAACATACTCGAATTCGCAGATAAGGGCTCTGCCTACCATCAAACTGACTCATCTCAAACTTAATAAATAAACCTAAAAAATTACCAATTCTCCTAGCAGATTTCAGATTCCTATATTTCATAGGGGCATTATGAACCTGTACCCAAAAATTGGATTCATACAAATTCAAAGATTCCGGAATATCATCTGGTTTAACAGCCTTTAACAGAATCAGATCACGCTCAAACAACCAAGGACCATCATCAATCACACGATTCATATCCAAAACATGGTTAAAATTAAGCAGAAAACGCCTTTCACCAATTTCCTTAATAGACATACCTCTCCCTGGATTCCATAGAGAAGTCATCAGTTCCTTAAACCCGGACAACTTAATCTTGCGGTCGGTAATGACGACCCCAACCACCGGAAAGGTCGCTGGTTCCATCTCTTCGTCACCGCCTTCATCTTGGTCTTCATCAAAATTTAACTCGGTATTCTGTTCCTCTATCGACATCCGTTTGTACGAAGCCACAATATCCTCCATACAATTCACGTTATTCCGGACGCAAAGGCTCGCACCAGCCCCACGCCACTGCCTGCTAACCGTCTAGAACTCTGCTCTCCTTTGTCGTATCCTCTCCCGAGCGACCGATCCTCAGCCAAGATGCCGAGATCGGAGAAAATCCCTAGCGGCGAACCCTAGGACTCCGAAGATTTAGAGAGACGAGCTCTCAACTCCGCAAAACTTAAGCATTCTTAATTAAGCGTAATGAGGATTTCAAAAGATATGGTAATGAAGATGCTGAAAGAAGCGTTTTATGTTAAGCGTTTTAGTGAGTTTTTAATTGAACATTCTCACGTTAAGCATGGTTCTCATTTGAACTTAAATTTATATAACCCCTGACCCCCCACCCCCACCCACCCCCCAAACCAGCCCAAATGGCCCAAAATACCCAGCCCAACCCGGAAAGTTAAAAAAAATTTAAAAAAAAAAAAGAATAAGCCCGAACCGGGCCCGAAATCGACCGGGCCGGTTCCACATATCCTAGCCCCGTACCCGCCCTGGTTACCCCCCCCCCCCCCCAAACCGGGCCGAGACTCGGACCAGGTGAATTACAATGCGTTTATACGGTACACTGTCCAAGTATACAAGTATGTGGTATACTATCGGCTATCCTAGTATGCCGCATTCGCTTATCCACACTTAATGCTATTTACAACCCTAAAACAAACAAATGAATTATCAAAAGACGTACCACTTACTATGTATAACTCTACACTGAAATCGAGATTGGCCTGTTGTATTATATGGTTCATATAGAACCGATGCCCATATAGAACCACACTTAATGCTATTTACAACCCTAAAACAAACAAATGAATTATCAAAAGACGTACCACTTACTATGTATAACTCTACACTGAAATCGAGATTGGTCTGTTGTATTATATGGTTCATATAGAACCGATGCCCATATAGAAAAACTAATGCATATCGGGTCCAATCGTGGCTCATGTCAAATGGGAATTAGGGAAAATAATTTAAATACTTTAATGGGCATGAGACAAGTATCACAAATTTGCATATGTATTTTTTTTTGCGTATGTAATATATACCCATTTTCCATCATTTTTAATGGAGTTAAAGACTCACTATTTTTTTGTTTGAGAATATGACGGAATAAAGCAAAATGGCTTACAAAACTGTCTGCTCTTCTTTATTATGAAGCAGTAGTCGGTACATGCAATTTTCGACGCGAATTTCACTATGGATCATTCGGAAACAGTCTCTCGGTGCTTTAGTACAGGGGTAAGACTGCGTACATCCGACCCCCCCTTAATCATGGTGATAACATAATTTTTTTTATTAAGTTTAGGATATAAATTATAGGTGCAAGTTTGAGATAATAACCCCACACCCTTTAATGTTTAGGATATTTAAATTATTTTTCAAATGAGAATCATATCAACTAACTTATTTGAAGTCAGTTTTGGTTAGTGTTACTTATGTTATACACTCTAATTCTTGACTTCCAAGACTCGCCCAAGAACCAAATAATGTATCCCAGTTAAGATCACGATTCCACTAATCCACTCACCCCATGATCATGAACCCATCTATTCGAAAATGGACATAGTTTACATTTAGTTATAACCCTGAATCAAACCGTTTGAAACTGGACCCGGTTAGCCTCTAGCTATAACTGGGATGACAGTGGTGCAGCTTTTTTAGAGTGGCAGTGTGGTTCAGTGGTTGTTTAGGTTTTCTTCTTTTTAACTTATAACTTATAAGCAATAGACTTCACAAACCCATTGTGAATCTCTTCAGTCTTGAATAGTTGAGTTGGGTCGGCCAACCTTAATTTTAATATGATATTGGAATTGAATTCTAAATACCCCACATTAAGGACAGGCCGCCACTCTTCATTCATAAATGGTGTTTGTGGTATAATCAAATCAGCTGCTTTCTTCAAGATTTGAATTTCGTATGGACTAAAAGCACTTGTAGGTATATTTACATAAATACTATCGAGGTTCTTACATTTTGCTCAAATACAATATGAAGACAAGGCAGTGAGGACTTTTTTGGCTACTTAACCTGAGTTTCAGCAACTTTTTTCAAGATCACAGCAGCATAATTACCAATTGTTCGTTCTGGAGACTGCTGAAGCTGCCTGATTACCGGAAATAGCTCTGATGAGCGGAGAAATTGCCGACAAGGTGGATGAGCACACATCTTTGCCAGTGAGAACAGAGCAATTTTTAGCGGCGACTCGTGTAATGAATCCTTCCTGGTTGGGTTTAGAGCTAATACTGAATAATCAGCTACCAACTTTAGTAGAGCCTAAAAACCAAAAATGTGATTTTAGAGAGAATTCTAAAGAAGAAGAATGGCCCTTTCACCTTCATTTTTACATTAATATTTTCCCTCGTTCATTTGAAAAACGTGTTACGTAGTACATTTTTACATAATTCAAAACATTCATATTTCAGTCATTCAGTCTCTATTTTAGCAAATTCAGTTCATCCCAATATTCGTCCAACCACTTCATCCAAATGTTACTGTTATCAAACGGGCTCTTACTATTAAAATAGACTACCTCCATTCTTAAATAGTTGCAGCATTATAAATTTTACACTATTCACGTGGTCTATTTTAACTATTTTATTTAGAAAGCCATTAAAATTTAAAAAATTTTAAAATATGATTAAATTATTCTCACTTTAAATTTTTAAGATGTGATTTTTTTGAAATTTTTACAATTAGGGAATTAATTATATTAATGATCAAAGTTATGTGTTGGCAAAAGTGAAAATGGAAGTGTTGCAACTAATAAAGAACAGAAGAAGTAATACTGAACGGAAGCGGGTTTTTTATGTGTATAACGCATATTCACCTGGATGGCTCCTTTCGAAATAATGTCTTCGCAAAGCTTGTTTGAGTTGCGGACAAGATTACTGAGTGCCCCAGCAGCATTAGCTTTGGTTTTATCCTCCACAGCAGACAGGAGCAAATATGAAAGCTGGGGAATGGCTCGTTTGAGCTCATCGTACAATAAGTCACTGTGATAAGCAGCATTGCCAATCTAAATGAGGGGGGGAGATGCTAATTTATTAGTAATGTCCTGTGAATTAAGAAATATTGACAATCTCGTAAAAAGTAATACAAAGTAAAAAAATAAGAACTCACAGCAAAGCAAGCAAATTTCTGAGTTCTTTTGTCTGAATCATAGCTTCTATCAATGAGGAGACTACTGATTTGATGCTGTCCCTGCCACAGTGAACAACTCATCATATTTGACACACACATATGGCGTAAGATGACCTTTTTTGTTTGAAGAGAAATTTTTAAGGGAGAAAGAATACAACTAATACACCTTGATTGGTTTCATACCAGTGCATCATAAAAATATGAGCTATGCCGACACATGTTCCCTATTGCACTGCATGCCTTTGCACGGATATTGGGATCTTCGTGGGTCAAGAAATCCTTCAAGAATCCCATGATATCTGCTGCATCTATGTACGCGTAGAAATCCTGTGCAAATATTTTGAAATCATACAGAAAGTAAAGTACTATGTCTCCATGATACAGCCAAAAATGTATTAGACAATGATGGTTACACGATGAGTCGTGAGTCCCCATCAAATATTATCAATCGCCTCCACTGTGCTCCTCCATTGATAATATTCCTCGTTACTTTGTAACTTTAGATCAAAAAACGACAATGATGCTACCTTCAAATGTATTGTTTGAGATGGGAGCATGTAGATTTTACCTTTTCCATTCGAGCCAAATCTGAAACAATCATCAGAATGTCGAGGATGACCTCTTTAGGGCATGAGCCACCAAGCAGCCACTTCATTCTGCTTGGTTCCAAAAGACCTTTCCCTAAAAGTTGAGATGCAAGAGGTCGGTGGCCAGACATTTTGGCAATAAATGCAATAGGCTTTGCAATGTCTTTCTGCTCCATATGTTCCAAACTACCAAGGATAATACCCGGAACTCCTACCTACACTCACAGCACAGATCAGAGTCATACATTTAGCAAATTTTTGACAAAAGGGAAACCCGGTGCACGAAGGCATTCCCACAAGGTGAGGGGCCAGGGAAGGGTCCTACCACAAAGGTGTACAAGGGGTAAAGCATTCCCTTGTCAAATTTTGACAAGAAGTTGCTCCCAAGACTTGAACCTATGACCTCTCACTCACAGCAACACCTTAACCGGTGCGCCAACACTTCAGCAATTTGATGACTAATTGCATAAAAATCACATTTGTTTAATCATGCTAAACCTTTATGGAGACAAGAAAAACTGTGAGAATTGAAACTTTGTTGTGGACTTGTGGGGTAGGGGGGTAATACAAGTTAAATCAAATTTAAATGTGCAGTCACAGACGATATTTCTTTGCAGAAACAGTTCCCCTGGATTAAAAAGAATTACTACCTCCGACCCTCTTATATTGGGGCGGAAGAGGGTGGCACGATTATTAAGAAAAGTGGATTTGTGTGGTTGATATTAATTGATAAAGTTAGAATGATTTGGAGCCACACAAACTTTACCAAATATGGTATGGGACAAATTTAGTGGGATTTCCCGAAAAGGTAAAACGAGACAATATAAGGGGGACGGAGGGAGTAGTTTATTAGTAAATGAAGAGTGTAACACTGACCTCAAATAGAATTTGAATGTACTTTGCCATGTGTGTCTCTATGGCTTTAACCATGTCTTTATCTTCAGGACAAACTTGTGCACCAGGTGAGCCCATATTAAGGAGAAATCCACTATTAACGGAAGCTGCAGCTGACGGCAAACCTTGAACGTTCTGAATAGCCACGAAAGGAAACGCCAACAGATCAATCACGGCATTTATTGTGTCTCTCGCGCCATCCTTCCCTCCACCAGGGCCAGTCCAACTCCTAACAAGCTTAAGATGTGTGTCTGATATTAAATCAGAAAAGGCCTTGATGTGCTCTGTCTTTATCAGTATCTGACGGAAAGTAGATACTCCACCAAACAGGCATTGACAAACTGAAGAAACACTCCAAACAACCCCAATTGGCGACAACCCAATTTCAGAAGAGTTGCTTTTTGTTAACAAATCAATAAGAAGTTGAGGAACGCCACTTCCACATGACTGCTGCACTGCTAATGGTCCTCCAGACTTCAATCGTGATTCCAACAGCCCAATGCATCCATCCCTTAGTCCATGCCAATGTGAGAAAATCTGGTTAATCATCTCTGAGTTCATTCCATCTTTTTCAATTGGAAAAGCCTTTAGGTATTCACAAAGCTTTGCTGTTCGAGGGATTAGAGACACAGCTAAGTCAGACTTAGATAACCCTACAGAACTACCGGCCTCAAGGGACAGAATTGATGCAAGAGCTAGCATTGCGGATGAACAATGAGGTTGACATGATGGTTTTGCATCAGGTGAGAAATGGTAGGCAAGAACAGAAATGCGTGACTGTTGTTTCTTGGCAGATGTGGTGAGTATAAATGATGCAGAATTTCTTCCAGAGAACTTCAGAGAGAACGCGATGGTGGCAACGAGAAGACATGAATGTAGAACCAAGACCCCTGGATTGTTTAGCTTGAACTTGGGAACTTCACCAGACACTTCCTTATTTGAAGCAGAAAAAGACAGTATAGAGAAGACTTCTGAAATAATAGTACCATCCCCTCCCCCACCAACAACAGTAGTAACTGGGAGAGAACTTGGTAGACCACAAAGAACATTTGCGGCAACTCCACTGTGCAAGCAGCACCTCATGACCAGCTGAAAAGGCAAGTCTATTAGATTACAATTTTGTTTATACTTATTGTAAAACGTCACTGTGCTAGGATATGGCACTGTGAAAGAATAAGATGGATTATGCATACTTGACATAAATTACATGAAATTTATTAAGTCAGACAGCTCCATGCCATAAACTTGGCACTGATCTGTATCATCTTTGGATACATGAGAATGAAGCTATTTTGTTATAATTTCTTTTGATGATATAAAACAAGGGAGGATTTATGTTATGGCTATAGTGGACTCAAGCCCAGAGCAACTTGATTTTGAAATAATGATATATATAGAGTATGCTCCTGTCAGGAGCTCCTGACCGGAACCGCCGTGCTGAATCCGCCGTTTGAGGTCGTTCTCGGTGGAAGTTTTTTATGAAATTCTGTGACAATGTTCTTCATGAACGGTAGATTATATCCAAAAAATTCAACTTAGAATTCAGTTAGGAAGACAGTTAAATAAGTTATTAAAAAGAACTGCAATTTTCATTTTATATATATAAAAAGTGCAGTTCTTTTCAATAATTTATTTAACTAACTTCCCGATTGAATTTTAAGCTAAAATTTTGTGGACATAATCTACACTTCGTGAAGAACATTCTCACAAAATTTCATCAAAAAAATCCACCGGGAACCAACTCAAATGGCGGATTCCGCATGGCGGTTCCGGTCAGGAGCTCCTGATATGAACTGCCCCCCCCCCCTCTCTCTCTCTCTCTATCTATCTATCTATCTATCTATATATATAGGAATATTCCGGTCAGAAATTTCCTGACCGGAGCCCCGTCCGGCCTCCTCCTTTTAAGGGCCTTCCCGGTGGTATTTTTTGCTCAAAATTTTTGTGTATATTCCTCATCAAGTCTAGTTCATCCATACCAAATTTCAGCAAAAAATTCAATCGGGAAGGTTGTCAAATGATTTTTGCAAGTTAACTGGTCCGGAATATGTATTTTCCGGACCAGTTAACTTGCAAAAATCATTTGACGACCTTCCCGATTGAATTTTTTGCTGAAATTTGGTATGGATGAACTAGACTTGATGAGGAATATACACAAAAAATTTGAGCAAAAAATACCACCGGGAAGGCCCCCAAATGGAGGAGGCCGGACGGGGCTCCTGTCCGGAAATTCCGGACGGGGCTCCTGTCCGGAAATTCCGGACAGGAATAGCTCTCTCTCTCTCTCTCTCTCTCTCTCTCTATATATATATATATATATATATATATATATATGAAATCTATATATATATATATATATATATATATATTACTGAAATAAAGATGATGGACAAAAATGTGAAATCTTATATGGAGTAACTATATTGGTAACTTTTAGTTACTATGATTATGTTCAATCGTACAATACAGTTACCATGATGTTGCACTCATAGTAACTTTAGTCACATTTTTGTTCGTGAGTTTAATTTTGGCAACAGTTCATTTTCACCACCACCACCCACTAATGTTTAGGCCTAGTATAGTTACTCTTATGCCCAACCCAATTCAAATTTCTAGATCTGTCCCTGATTATAAAATATGCATGTGACATACATGCAATGTTGGGATTTAACACACACAATATGAAAAACGATAAGAAAAACACAAGAGTTTGGTTACCCAGTTCGCTAAGAATGACTACGGCTGGGGGCTTCCCCAAGCCAGGATGTTACTATTATTTTCTGATGATGATTACAATGAGAGAGCAGGTATTTAAAGAGAGTAAAACCCTAACCCCAATAAGAAACTCGCGGCCCATAATACAAAAGACCCAAAAAATTTCGGTCTTGGTTATACAGTCTCTACACCTTACATGCAAGACCCTTACTTCAGCTTGCTAAGCTTGGCAGAGCTTAAACTATTCACATGGTTCAAGGAGTAACATAGTGGTGGGCTACTCCCATTCCCCACCAGTAAATTTTATTCAGTTCACATCCATTGGATTTAGAATGACTACAACAAGTTGGATTTAGATGGATATTAACCTGTAAATGGACATTTGTTGAGACTCAAGGAATCTATGCATGAAGCTAACATTTAATAATAGCAAGATAAAATTTACAAAAATGTGAAAACTAGGAAAGATAGTTTAATGGATACCTGTATTGTGGAGCACAAGGAGACCTCAGCACGTTGACGCAGGCAATAAAAAAGAGAGACTTGTATGGGTTTGGACCTCAGAAATGCTTTTGTCACAGCATCAATTATTGTCATTGAATCTTTTATAAACAAAGAGCCTTGTTTGTTGTCATCAATGTGAAGTCTATGAAGAGAGGGTATCCTCAAAGAGTTTAGAGGAAATATGTGGTCATTTTCTTTCATCCAAAGTGTATCAAAAGCATCCACTAGTGACCACAAAGCCCTACAAGCTTCACACGCAGCTCGCAACAAATTTGAAGAGCCGGATATGAGACTTGAGCCTGAAGTTGTTAGGCATGAGCATAAGAGATCCGCCAACGCAGAAGATTGGGCATGGACTAGAATCTCTTTGGCAGTTTCATTCAAGGCTGCAGGGCTAGTAATCAAATCTGGAGTCGATCTTTCAGAAGAAACTTTAAGAGCCTGAGCTACATGAGATAACATTACTGCAATACAACCTGTGGACTCAAACAGAGCTATTCCAGGGGCATCATCCACACACTTAAGGACCTGAAGATTAGAAGTATAGTTCAAATTTTGGAACAAGTTAAAATGCTTTCATCAGATCCTCAAATAAAAAACCAACCTGCGCATACAAGTCAACCAGTGTCATGAAGTGCCTGACATAATATCCTGAAGTGACACCACGTGTATCTAAGAACCTTTTTGTAATTGAAAAGCTCTGCATTAGGACAAAAATGAACACCTCAAAAAGAATCATCACTTCAGGAATTAATGAGAATATGCAAAACGCATTGTTGTCTAACTTCTAAAGCTGCGTATATTATACAGCGCCTAAACAATATATCAAATTTTATTAAAACAAATAAGATCAAATGTATAATGTGTGAGGGCAGTAAATCCTGCCAATGTATCTTTTATTTTTAAATCCTTCTCTCATCCTATATTTTATAGTTTTGTTTACAGGACTGTCTACTTAGAATACCTTAACAACCAATTCAATACCATCAGCAGTTCTAAGTTCAATAATAGAAGAAGTGAAGGCAAAAAGTTCGCTTATGATTTCATCAAGAATCCCACTTGAGTTGATAGCCCCAGCTGTGACCAAGTTCAAAAGAATTCTCAATGACTGGTTTGATGTCACATGGTCTTCGTCCCTGTGGAGAAAATTAACTTCTAGTCATCATAAAGTACCAATAGCATCCCTAGAAATACTTTAAGTAAGCTCATCAAGACAAAAAAGTAAGAAATGATAATTACTGATACTGTGATATATCAAATGGTTAGCATGTTTGTCATAAGGGACATTTACCGGCAAGAATCTGCAGGTCTGTTGCGCCAACTTTTTAGTGGAAGTATAACAGTTGCCAATGCTTCATTATCTTGACCAATCATTTTTGCACCCTTAACTGTCCGGGAGTTATTTTCAAAGCAGTCCAAGGTCTGACAACCTAAAACAATCATATAACAAGTCAGAGGTCCAGTACAGCTTTCCCAAGATGTGTGGACTGGAGTAAAATCTAAATCTCTAAATATTTTCTCACGCATAATTCCCATTTAAATATCATTTTAGCTTTTAGTCTCTCCAAAGTATTATCTGGTTTCCTAATATGAACATAACAACTAACATCAAAACTTCCCAACTCCACCACTATGAGCTTTCAATTCGTTTCATAGCGGGCAATACTTCTAAACATCATAGCAGTGTGACCTTATCTTTTCAGCATCAAAAGAGAGGAAATGACTTGCAAGAGCATAGAATTGAGAGACAATTATGGTTCTCATGTCAGAAGTAATGAATTAATATATTATACTCTTTTTTGCATTTTTCCTATAATCTGTATATTATATGTTTATATCAAACACCACACTAACTCACTAATAAAGGTTATGAAACTACGGGAATCCTATGTTTGGTACTCCAAAACAATGTACCATAAGCAGCTGGGGTACAAGTCAATTTTTAAAACAGAAATTTGAATCGTGAACAGGAAGACCTGATTTTGGAAGCAAATTGTAACTTGTAAGGTGCATATTTATCAATAAAATAAAACATACACATACATTTATATAAAGAAATTTGTAAAAAATATAAAATATTATCATTTCAAATGTACAAGTGAAAAAATCATTGCATAAATAACTTAAACCTTGTTTGTTACAATTATTTTATATAAGCATGTAAGTAAATTATGTTGTGCCCTTCAACAAATACGAAGAGATGTGATGGCCGAAAAGGGACAACGCAGAAGTGGAAAACACTGCAACGCGAGCAGGCCTAGCCATAAAGAAATAACAGTGTTGGATGACATGCATCTTCACATGACAGTGAATTGGGCGACTCAGTTTTGACTCTCTACTCGACGGATAAAGATAAGATTCACACAATACACATTGTGATTCAAGACTAAAAACGATTGATGAAGAGATTTATTTGGGGTTTAGCATATTCCATATTGAATCAAAAAACAAATTGTATCAAATCATACCATTCTCAACAGCAAGCAAAAATCAGGCGGCATCTCCTGATTTTTACTCTTTGTTAAAATGCAGCAAACCACGATCATTTCAGGCAAGAGGAAGTACGAATAAGTGAATAACTCACCAGACAGTACAACATCATTGGTATTTGACACTTGGGCCTCGTTATTTGGTGAAGAATTGGCTATATCTATAGCCGGACTGTTTGAATGGGCATCAGTCTGAAGACTTCCAACATTTCCATTTCCACTTGTTGCATGAAAATAGCTTTTGCCTACAAATACAGCTGTTGAGGTGGATAGATTCACAAGAACTCAGTGAGCATATTCTTATTCAACAGAGATCTTACTTTCAGGACTTGAAAAATTCAATCCAGCTGTTTGGACGTTTCCATCACCCCTCCAAGTTGCATCACTGCCCCTAGCAGCACTAGGTGCAGGATCTTGAATTTCCTGGAAATTCGCAAGATAAATTGGAAATCAGAATATTGATAATGCAATTGAAGATTATATTAAAAAAAAAACATTTGTGTGCATGTGCATAGAAGGCAATTACCGCAACGTCCACATACTCGTGAGTTTCTTTAACGAATGGATGCTCAAGTAGAGCAGGCCAAGAAAGTCTGTTTTGTGGTACCTGCATCATGGTTTCAACAACTGAATTAGTTAAATGCCGCTGGAACAGTAGTATTGTCTAAGTTATTACTGATGTCTTGGAAGACACAAAGAACCTTGTTAAGCAGCCCCTTTAGGAAACTTTTAAAATTTGCAGACATGTTATCTGGATATTTAACTGGATCCTGAAAAGTAACAACCAAAAGCAAATTAATGATGAATTTTATCTTCACCTTTCAATTGGATTTGTTAGAGAAGGTTGTGTACCTTGATAATATGCCTGACTAGTGCGTAAACTGAATTCGTATAAAATGGAGGCTGGCCTACAAAAAGCTCATATCTGCCAAAAAATTGTAATGCAATAAAAATGAGAAAACAAATTGGCAACTGAGAAAGCTAGTAGATAATGTAAGGAAAGAAAAACTTCTCATTAAATATGTTTGTATAGGCCAAAAAAAATAAGTATACAATAATCTTATGCCACTCCTAATATGTATTCAAATTATCAGAGATCTTGCGTGGCAAATAATATGAGTATGTTCATCCTAGACAATAAGTAGTAGAATCTTAAGCATGAAAAATAGTGTACACATGTAGGCAACGGTAACCATGGGTCATCCGGAAACAGTCTCCTTGTGCTTTAGTACAGGGGTAAGGCTGCGTACATCCGACCCCCCTTACCCCACCGTAGGTGGGAGCCTTTGCGGCAATGGGATGATGATGAATGTAGACAACGGTAGAAAAGCATGCACTACCAAGAAAGTGAGAGGGTAATAGCTAGCGTCTTTTTTCCCCACACTCACATGAGCCGTGAGTGATTACTTTAATTATTCATTGAAAATGAAGCACGGTACATTAAGTCCCTATGGTCAAGGTAGTTATATTAGAGCAAGTGGACTGGCTTCATGCCGTGTAAGTACTGTTGGTTTAATGATATCATCTAATATCTGATCAAGGAAACATTGCATACAATATGACACCAAGTGACCACAAGTCGGCAGTGTGGTTGTAGGGTTGTTCTCGTACCAACTCTGGAGCCATGTACAAAGGAGTGCCTGCAACAAGTTCACCAATGAGGAAGTGAAGGAATGTCTAGAGAATAACAAACATCAACATGTAGTAAAAATGTGAGACGTCTCTGCAATTATATGCCGATGAATGTGCGATGCAAAATTCACCTTTTATGGATCGTAAGACAACTGTGTTTGTGGACATAGCTCTAGCGAAACCAAAATCACAAAGCTGTTGAAATCAATGACAAAGAACAGAAACAGAAACAGGTTCACTTTGTTAAGCATACAAAGAGAGTATGAAGAAATTCATCTAAAATAACAACAGCAATTACTCACCTTTATTATAGATCCAGAACCGATAAGAATATTTTGTGGCTTCATATCACGGTGGATAATGCGGTTTGAATGCAAATAATGTAATGCTCTCACCTGAAAGCAATTAGAGAAAAAGAGTATAAGAAAAAGAGATGCATCAAGTACAGACAGCCTTGGAGAGAAGCATGGGTGGGTTCTTTAGCATCCTTAACGGCTTAACCAGGGCTATAAATTAAATTCCAATTGGAGCCAAATACCAACTGTTTGGCAATCGCTTGAACTTGTTCTTCTGGAAGGCATTTGTCATCTTCGATAATTTCAAAAAGTTCACCCTGATATACAGTAATAATAAAACATGTGAAATAGTAAGCATGTATATGCATATTTCATCACCTGTACTAAAGGCAATGTTTATGAAATATATGAATATGCTCGAATGCATCTACGCAAGTATAAGTCATAGAAATCATGTATAAGAACATTTAGTTTCAGAGCTCCTATTACCTGCGCAAATTCTGTCACAACACAGAACTCTTGTGGACTTTCAAAAGAATCTAGCATCTCAATTATATTTTCGTGCTTTAACTTTCTGAGAATCTGCAGCAATTAATCACTTTGTATGAGCTATGGCATGTAGTATGCTGTTTTTTAACCAAGTAGCCAAGAGAGGAAGACTATTGGGTTTGAGAAAGACATGTGATTCAAAGTAACAAGTAGCAAAAATACAAAATTAATCGCATCAAAAGATAAGACTTTCCAAGTAACATTTTCATAAAGAAATCATCAGTATTAATATTCAGCAACCTGACCTACATAGTCAAACAAAAATTCTAAGACTTGACAAGTAAAGAATATATTAAGAATCATCAATGCCAATGTATCTGTAACCTAGCTTACATAATTCAGTTACTACATCATTATCCATAAGCATTTCAAACAATGCATACTATATTACTATGTCAATTGTCAAAATGAAGAAATGAATTGATTTATGGAATACCTCAATTTCCTGCCTCAAGTTATGAATATCCTTATCACTTTTGCCATGCTTGGGGATAAATTTCATTGCAACGGTCTAAAAGAAAAAAAGCAGCATTGTGTACGAAGATAATAACAATTTGGAAAAAATATAATAACCAATTTACTTTCAATTGGAATGTTGAGTAACAAACACACTAAAAGGGGAAATACCTGGCCTGTATACTTTCGCCTCCCTTTGTATACCTTCCCGAAGGATCCCTCCCCTACAAGCTCTATGACGTGGTAATTCTCCACGCCCATCTCCTGCGACCTATGAAGCGCTAAAACGCCAAATCTAGTGAGAAATCGAAGAGAGCTACACTCAGAAACCTGTCGAGCACTCCACTTGTCGTATGGTTAGCCGAATACGAGTTCAAATGTTTCGGGCACGTCAGGAATACGTCTGGACACGACAGCGAACGGCACAAGCTACACTCAGAACCCTGTCGAGCACTCCACAGTGAAGTTTTTATTCGGCAGCCAATAGAAGTTGAGCAGTGAATGAGTTGGTACTGTGACGGCGGCAGATATGAATCCGGCGGTGTTGATGGGCTTTTAGGTGCTTTGCCTGCGAAGGAGGGCGGAGAGGAATTGTGGAGGCGACGGAGATGGTAGGGCTGAGTCGATGTTACCGCTGCTCGCACAGTCTTGTCCTTCTCCACCTGACACGTGTATTTTCCGTTTTGTTTGCTTTTCTATTGGGATAAGGGTCAGTTTGGTCCTCGAAGTTGCAAAAAAGGGGTCAAATAAGTCCTTATATAGAAGATTCTGTCCGGACGTGCCATTTGAGGTGGCTCCCGGTGGAATTTTTTGATGAAATTTTTTTAGCATCTTATTCATTAAGTCTAGTTTACTCATACCAAATTTCAGATAAAAATTCAATGAGGAAGACATTCAAATGAATTCTTGAAGATAACTGTGCCGTTAAAAGCGCTGTTATCTTCAAGAATTCATTTGAATGTCTTCCCGATTGAATTTTTAGCTTAAATTTGGTATGAGTAAACTAGACTTAATGAATAATATGCTCAAAAAAATTTATCACAAAATTCCACCGGGAGCCACCTCAAATGACACGTCCGGACAGAATCTTCTATATAAGGACTTATTTGACGCTTTTTTTGCAACTTCGAGGACCAAACTGACCCTTTACTCCTTTTCTATTCCTCCCCTTTCCCTCTTATTCCTGAAATTTGAAATTTAAATGTTTTTTTGTAGTGATTCAAAATGTTTTTTTAATGAAAAAATGCTTGTTTTTTTAAAATGAATAAACAACACCGTTACCATAGGCTCAAGATAATACAAGTAGAAAGAATGGCACGTATATAACCACCAGACTCTTCATGACAAAAAGATGACCTTTTTTCAATTTTCTAAAATTACTAGATTTTCACCCGCGCGATGCGCGGGATATTAAATGTAATAGCGATCGACAATATTTGATAAATTTACTTGGTCATGTTAAATGTATGGAAATTGTTATAGACGCGAGATGCAGAATAAGTTATAATTAAAGATCAGATAGTGAGAACTCAGGGATAGGTAGTAAGTATGTTTCAGAATAAGTAGATAAAAGTAAATGCTATATAGGGCTTCACAATCTACACATTGCGAAACACTTCCTTATAAACTACATTGGTGGTATGGTCAGTTGACTGACCATCTTCATCGCAGATCAATATCTTCAAACCCTTGGGATTCGTTACCCTTGACACTGCAACATACAGTTGACCATGCGTGAAGACCGATTTCTTCAATAAGAGTCCAACGTGGGACAAAGATTGTCCCTGACTCTTATTTATAGTCATTGCATAAGAGGTCATAACTGGAAACTGTCTTCTCTGAAATTTGAATGGTATTCTTGTATCCGAAGGAGTTAAGTTTAACCTCGGAATGACAACCTCATGCCCAGCATATTTTCCGCCCATTATTTTTGCCCCTAGGATATGATTTCCAAGTCGCGTAACAATTAATCTTGTTCCATTGCAAAGCCCCATTGAAGGATCAATATTCCTTAAAAGCATGATTGGAGTACCAACCTTTAGGGTTAACTCGTGGTTTGGAACTCCGGATGCACGTATTTTGTTCAGAAATTCTGGAGTGTGCAAATCAGCCAGAAAATCGGCATTGGAGTCTGACTTGCAAATACTATCTGAACTTAAATATGTCCTTGACTCTTCACTAACATTCAAAGATGTCATGTATTCGTTAATTGCATCCACCACATCAAGGGTTGGAGCCAGAATTGCACGCTCTTGCAAGTAAGATGGGTCATTGACAATTTTTTCAAAGTCTGGATATGTGCTTTGAACAATAGTGGCAATGGGGTCGCCACCACACTGTAACAAAAGGTGACTTGGAATTTGGACATTGGCAAAGCCGTCATTATCTTCTCCCGCAGTTCCGTCTCCCAAACTCGCAATCCACTTTGCAAACTCTACCAAATCATCATATTCACGATCATCCGTCAATGATTGCAACCTCATGTTCTTCGTCAAACGCAAAACAATGCATTCACGCCAAATATAGGAAGAATTAATAGTTGCATTGACAATGTCTTGTCTAGTACCCTTTGTTACAACTGGTAAAATCTGTCGAAAGTCTCCACCGAATACAACCGTTTTCCCTCCAAACGGTTTTTCAGCACTATTTGAATTAGTGAATCTCAGGATGTCCCTCAAACTTCTATCTAAGGCTTCGAAACAATACTTGTGCATCATCGGCGCCTCATCCCATATGATGAGTTTGCAACGAATTATCAATTGCGCTAGTGGACTTCCTTGTTTGATGTTGCATGTGGAGTTCTCATTTGGGTTGATCGGTATGGCAAAGCGTGAATGAGCCGTCCTACCGCCTGGTAACAGCAAAGCTGCTATGCCACTCGAAGCAACATTCAAAACAATTTTCCCCTTTGACCTCAAAGCAGCTGACAACGTTTTCCACACAAACGTTTTCCCAGTACCCCCATAACCATATACAAAGAATACCCCACCATTATTTCCTTCAATACATTGCATAATGGTTGTGTAGACCTGACGTTGTTGATCATTAAGACTCTGTAAGCATTTGTCATGCTCTTCATGTAAGGCAACACGATCGTATTGCAACTCGTCAAATATTAGCCTGTTCTGATACAGAGTAGCGTCGCTTATTGTGGGAAATGGCATGGATGGATAGTCCTTTAAGCTCCTGCCCATTCTCCTCAACATCATTTCGATTTCAGTCAATGCATAGTTCTTAATCTCGGCTTCAGTCAACTTCAAATCTAACAGTACATGCATTACCACGGTAATATCAAATAACATGTGTAATATATGACAAATGGTTTTAAATATATATAATATATAACAAATTGTATGCGGAAATATCAATTGTTTAGTACCTGGATGCATTAAAGCTCTTCTTTGCCTGTGCAGAATATCATCCGACATAAATGTCCAACATTTGTCCCAAACGTATTCCGGTCTACTCATTGTATCTGCTGCCAACAAAATCACAAACAACTTTCTAAGGCCCCACGCAGTAGCCCAAACACTACCTTCTGAAAATCCTTCAACGTACTCCTTGTCATCATCCAACAGTCCTAGAGCGAAACATGCATCACGATATGTCTTATGAATAATCCCATCCACAGTTCTCAAATCATCATAGCTTGTAGCCCCACGCCTCAAATTAAGGACACATCGCAAATAATAAGATTCTCCTGATCCCGGAGGCACATACGTGAGACGACCTATTGCAAACCCTTTTTTTCGCGGCTGAAATTCTCTTGTTTTTTGGTTCCAAACAAATTTTTGAGGGAATTCGGCATAAGTTAAATCCCTTGCCTCAGGGTACTCAGCATTTGCTCTCATCCGTGCGAGAAACATACTCTCCCTAACAGATTCACGCAACACGACATCACTTACTGCTGCACCATCTTCAAAATAAACATATTGTTCATTGTGGAAGTGAAAGCCCAGACGTTCCACAGATGGATTCTTATACTGGATCTCAAATCTGAATATTCTCCACATTGCCTCACATGGAGAAATATAACGACAATCATAGTACAACTTTATTTCATCAACAGGTTTGTCACTGTCATCTTTACTTGACGTTTCATAAAAACCTGCCGTGACACGATCGTGTCCTTTGTTAACGTATTTGAATAAATACTTAATGGACCTTGATTGGTTACACCACTCCACATTTAGATGAGCACCGTACCTCATTAATAAGGACCTGTTGTGGGGGACCACATATCTATTGTCAAGAGGCGCACCACCCCTCACAATTGTTCTTCCATCATTCCGCCTCCTATATTTAGGATAACCCTCTTCATCAACGTTAGTTTGTTCGTTGAAGTTCTTTGGGAAGTGCTTTGAACATTTAGACTGAACCATGCAAGGGGCATTCCTTGCATCACTACCACATGGTCCGTGCATCATATGCGTGCATACTGCTCTGAAATATTCAGGATCAACCCTCTCGTCCGGTATTTCAGCAGATATAACGCGGTCAATGTCTGCTGGGGTGGGAAATTTGTCTTCATTTCCCATGAATAATAAAATATGAGCATGCGGTAACCCACGCTTTTGGAATTCAACCGTGTAAATCACTGCAATGAGTCAATTAAACAGTGTTGGATCACACACAAACACACACATATAAATGGCAACTATTATGAATCATTACACATGATATTTAATATACCTGCTCGAATTTGTCCAAACAACTTACTTTGTCTTAGATATTTGATCAAGCCATCCAACTTCATCTTAAACACTCGACAAACTATATCGGGACGATCTTCAGGGTTCAAATTCCTTGAAGAAAGGAAGCTATTAATTTCAGGCCATCTTGGGTTACATGTGAAAGTCAAAAATAGATCTGGGTACCCTGCCCATCGACAGATAGCCATGGCATCCTGATAATTTTGAACCATGTATCGAGCACCCCCAACAAATGTAGGTGGAAGGACAACTCGCTTGCCCTGTGTTGACGCATCTCTCTCACCCCTTAGCAAAGCATCTGATAGACCTTTGTACATTTCGCACCTAAGTTCTTTTTGATGAGTTTTAATATACATTAGCCTCGATGACTCAACCATCGTGTATCCATCAACTGTGACTTGTTGGAACAACCTCCTACTCTTAAGGATGAAAGAGTCCTCGATAGCCCGTTCATGAAACTTGTAAGAAAGAAACTCTCTAATGCTAACACTTCGTCGACCGCCTGTGTTTGACAAATATTCATCAGAAAAGGGTATATCCTCCCTATACCCATCCTCACCATACGGAAATAAAAGTGGATATTGTAATCCCAAGTATGCCGGATTTAGCTCATTTATTCTCTTCAAATACCCTCCTTGAGTTTCAACCATTATGTCTCTTTGCCCCAGTGATTCATCAAAATCACCTACCACCAATGCCGCTACCTCTGAAACCGTTGGCAAATTGTAAGTTCTGGCATCCTTGGTTCTCCTCCCTATTAACTTCAGGGATACTTTTGTTTCCCCACCCTCAGCTAGTTTATCTCTAACCATTCGAAAAGACTTAACCAAAACATTATGTTGGTCTAACATTTCCCTTAATTTAGACACAATATGAGCGTGCAAATTGTTCTTCTTTTCATCATTCCTAAATCGATATAACCAAATAACATAAACAATACAATAAATTTAGAACTCACAGTACGTGTGCAGTGATTGGACAACATCAAATACGTATTTTAAGGTAACGAAATCACCTCACTGAGCTCAGACGATTGGCATCTTCATGTTGTGTGTCATAAATATAAAGTTGTGCAAATTTCGGTACACTTCCTTCCTGGGGTAGCAAACTCCCGATGAGGTGATAGTTTTGGCCACTCAATTTAAAAATTGGTGGTGAACCACCCTTATTTAATGTTCTATCTACCCTTCCTCCCATGGAAGTGAACGAAAACATGCTGTTGTAGGAACGGATATTTTCCTGGAAATGCTTACAAACTGCATCTGTACCATGAATGAATTGTTTTAGTACCAATGGAGGCTCCTTTAATAGTGGCAGTTTAATTTTCCCTTTACTGCAACACAAAGAATACACTGGGTCCTTTTTTGAAGAACTGCGAAGAATTCTTTCTTCATACCAAAACAATGCTCCGCAGTGCGCACAATTGTGTGACGGCTCACCAACACTCCAATATTCCGCGTTGCTCCCATCTGTGACAAATGTAAAATACTTAAAATTGGAATCAGAAAAAGGTTCTTAAAACGTGAGCTTACCTAAGTGTAATTGTTATATCAAATGAAGTATCCTCGCACCTTCAACATCGTGTGATTCATCAGGCATCACATCATCTTCTTGTCCTGGGCCACCCGTACAGGGTTCTTCATGATCACGATGAATAGCCCAAGATTCAGATATATTATTTACAATTGATGATTCCCCTCTCTGAAAGCCATTAAATGGCAGATGAGTAACTGCATTTCAAATTTGTGAAACAAAAAGGCCCATAAATTCATAATAATCAACTTATTCATAACAAATAGTATAAATATACACGGAGTAAATAATAGAAGTAATAAAAAATAATCTTCATACAACAATTACCCGTTTTTTTAGAAGACAACACATTTGCCCGGCGTGCTGTGATGTGAGAACTGCCCAATTGATCAATATCACGCGGGGGTACATGTTCCGTGTGATTTGGATCACAATTTTCTGTTCAACACACATTAATCAATATTTGAATTAAATATTTAAATTTTCATTAAGATATTGCTGCAATGTTTTGGTGTTAATTATGTACCTAATTAGTCATACCCTATTTAATTATTTAATTATATTTAATTATAATAACATACAATAATTATATTATGATAATGATAATATGATAATAATAATAATAATAATAATAATAATAATAATAATAATAACCCAGCCCAACAACTCAGCCCAATAAAACATCTTTATAAACTAAGAGGCCTAAGGATTCTGCAAGCCCAACAGCCAGCCCAATCCCACCAGCCCGCCCTACTCATTATATATACCCTCTACCCAATCTCCCAAACCCTAATTACCCACCAGTCCAACACATTGCCCAGCGGATACCCTCTCTATACATCGGTTCTTCCGCTCATCACATTCAATGGTAACGATACCATTCAATGAGTATCGGTAACTCCTATTATAGATCGATACCTTCCTTGTTACACTTTTTATCCTCAGCTATTTTTCCTTGATACTGTTGTTACTCACCGTGGACGAAGGTTCCAACAAAGCTGAGCGATAACAAAGTAATTCAGGCCTGCGAATCTGTTCTTGGGGTACAAATCTCAAACCTCCTTCATTTTTTTTGTCATATTGGTTTTATACGAAGGTTGAGTGATATAATATGATCTCAGTCTGAGTTTTTTTGTACTGTTTGGCACTGGCATATGACGCGGATGCCCAGTTTTTTTCGTGTCGAATCCATTTTTATTTTCATTCACTGAGTGAATTTTATCAAGGTTGAGTGATATAACATGATCTCAGATCTATTTATCCTTTTCGGCGTATTCATATTTTAAGTGTGAATTTTGTTCTGTTTAGATTATCAACTAAGCCTGAGTGATACTCTATGATCTCAGAGTTGTTGTCTGTCATTTTTGTGTTTGTATATGGGTTATTTCAACTTTGACAGTCTATGGAATAGTTCATCTCAGATCTGTTGTTTAAATTCATCGCACTCATATTTAAACACCTTTTTGTTGTACAGATGCCATAGCCCGTCTGAACGAAACGTACTAATCTCAGGCTGTATTATTCTTGAATATTCCCGATTTTAATATCTAACTTTTCATGTTTTGGATTAGTCTCATACGGAGTACATTGCTTAATCCATCACTTATTCTAAAGGACCTCAGATCTGTTTTCCCTTCACTTATTCATATCTTGATTTTTAAAAATTGGAGTTTTGTTCTGTACAGATTATGTACTAAGACCATTGTTTTGACCTAAATGCGAACTGTCTGTTTTGTTAATGGCCTTCGAAAGCCTATTTTCTGGCCTATTTGAGCTGTCTATTTTGTTAATGGCCTTTCAAAGCCTATTTTCTGGGCAGTATGTACAGAATTAAAGATTAATATTTTACCCAAAGTCGGTATTTTCCAGTGCCTCCCAATTTATTCTCTTTTTGGTGTTATGTTCTTTTCAAAAATACATCCAGACCTAAAGTGAAGAACTAATTTCCCTACACACTTCAATTCTGGGTGTATTTTGGGTGAGTAATATACAATTTATTTTTTCGTTTTTCCAATTTTTGATAATTACTGTGCAAGTTTGTAATACATAACCATTAAGTGGAGAACAAATTTCCCTTAATTTATAGGATTGAACTAAATTCTGGGAATTTATAGTCACTACATTTTGTATTTTTTAAAGTACACTTATATTCAGTCATGTATGTAACTTAATTTTTTTTTTCTCTTGTACTCTGGAACTGGTTATAAAATTATTAATTAGTTCATGACCACCTAGATATGTATTGTGCAACAGAAATATATGACATTTATGAATAAAAAACCTACCTTTGTTGTTCGCCACTTCACGACTTCTTTTACGGTTGATTGTTGTGCTTTTGGTGATCTTCTTCATTGAAGGACTGTTATTAAAAATGAAAATGGAATCTTGTTAAATTCAATTGATGGACCTTTTAAAACATGTGAATTTGTTTTCTTTCAAAATGTTTTGTTACATTTTATTACTTTCATTTTAATAAGTTCTCATTCGGTTTGTTTATGGTGGTTGCTTGTTCTTATGGCCCATCCCATAGGACTGCCGGATACCCTGCCAGCCACCAAAGTGGCCTTCGGAACTGCGTGGTCTGGCAGTCCGTTGGCCAGAAAACATGTAACCCCCGAGTACCTAATTCAATGCCATCTCAATTTCTTCTCTTCACCATCCTCTTATGTAATGTGTATTGACATATTATTGACATATTTGACATATATATACAATAATAAGCTCGTTCTAAAATATTTATGAAACAATTTAAAACCATATAGAACACGAAACATCTGTCAGGTGAAATAACATCATTTAGGAAATGCATTCTGTATACATGTCCACCATTGCACAACAATTCGTTAACAACATTCTACACTAATCATCATTGAGCATTACATGAGTACATCCAGCCCACACAATATGCAAAAAACAAAACAGCTTACCTATCTTACATATCCAACAAAAACCTTAGTCATAGTCATTGATAGGAATGCATTACTACAGTCATGACATGTTAAGCCAACCAAAACTCATCCCCACACACATGTTTTCATTGAAGTACTTCTGGTTCAATGTCACAATCCGACCTGATCTTCTAGGTATATCAGTGTCTGCATTCACCCATTCCTGACATTCTATGCATATGTATTTCCCAGTAAACCTTTTCTTGTTTAGAGGCTCCATGCAGTAAAAATGACTCAAGTTTGCATTACACCCAAAGCATGTTTTCAACGGAAAGAGTCCAGGGTGTTTGCCACACGCATGACATTTTGGCTTTTCACAGTTTGTGCCTGAACAGCATCTCATCTTAAATGAAATAGTTGAAATATGTCATTCAATTATTTCAAAGGCATGGAATTATATCTGCTTTCATGAATGTTCATAATAGTAGGCATCATGCATTTATCATATGTACATGTCATATTCTGATTACATATCATAGTAGAAATAATACCTTTGGTAATTCTGGAGCACTCCAATGCTGGCAAGACTGTATACTCTAAAAATGCACTCCAATGCTCTGGTTAGATGTTGTGGTTGAGGAGAGTAAATGAGATTCTGAGCATGGAGTAAATGCTCCTACGACGGTATTTATTAACTCAGCTTCCAAAACAGGTTTTTGACCACTGGTAAGTGAGTTCAGCAATATATTATGATATCTACTTGGTGTCCATTCCCATTTAATGAGCAGATCTGCGCGCCAACCTAGGATAGATATCCTGCTACTGTGTTCATTTAATGTGTGCAGACCTATACACTATACTAATGCTTCCTTGCATTTATGACTCTGTTTTAAAATGATTTTAAAGTACCGCTAACTTACCTTTAAATCTTGCATCAGATCTTTTTTCTAATCATTTCGATGTTGTGATAATCTAAACCATGCTACCACAATGTTCATTTAATGTGAGCATTGATTACACGTTTCTTTTTATAATTTAACCATATCATATCGAAATGACATTCAAGGATTTTGTAGTACAGTTTCATAAATGCGAAATGACATAGCCATATTTGAAGTTGGTCCTCTCTATACCAGCCTGTACTTTGAAATAATAATTACGTTTCTTAACTCACTACTTTTTAAAAATGTTTTCTAATATTGATGCTTTGACAGGCTCCATTTTCTATTATCTATTCTGTAACCATTTATTCTTGGCTGTGTTTTACCAAGTCTGTAATGATTAAATCCTATTCACTACTTGCTTCTATTTTTTATATTTACCTGCACTTTTTGAACTTAAATTTTATATTGTAACTATTCATTTTTGGCTTTTTAAAATATTCTGCCCTTCTCGTTAACTATTCTGTATTTTTTAAAAGTAGAGTTTAAGGAAACTTTTCTCAATTCTGACTTAAATATTTTTTACGTTTTTATAAAATGTTATCTGTAATTATTATTTCATAATTTGTAATGCAATAACAATTATTACTCTGGGCAATGTTTTATATTTATAATATGCAACATCACAAAAAATATGCCCTTTGGAAGTCTTGGTAATTAAAACCTTAAATACCTGGGCAGCCACATTAGGGCTAAAAGTAATTGCCCAAAATTCCTGTTTAAGCACTATGTACTTCACAATTTTAAATGGTTTCCTTAGCATTTGTGTTTTTAAACTACAAAGTAAAACTCTTGCTTATAAAAATTCATAGACTTTAAAATAAAATTTTTTTAGGGCAGTAAAAACAGATTTCATCATTTTTAATTAATTTTGTAGAAGACAATTATATTGTTTAGTGAAGTACATCGGTTACATGTTCAAGTGTATAAAAAATAACTTGAGCTTCAGAATATATTTGGGCAAACAATTTTATACGTTTTTTTATACTTATGTACTCATATGAATATATTTGTTATTATTATTAGAAGAATTTTAAAAAATGCTTTTATAAGGAATATTAATAAGAAAAAAAGCAGCAAAGTAGTACCGAATTTGAATTAGAGTATTTTTTATTCTGGGCTGTGTTTTACCAAGCCTTTGATGATTAAAACCTATTTACTACTTGTTTCTATTTTTGATATTTATCTCCACTTTTAATCTGAAGTTAAAAATTAACTTTATTATCAAATTATGTATTCTTTTTTAATATGTAATGAACTTAAATTATATTTTGAGGCTATTCATTATTGGTTTAATAAAATATTCCGCCCTTGAATTTATTTAACTTCTGAAATAACAATTCCACTAACGATAAAAAAAACAATTCCACTAACAATTCTTTTTTTATGGATGAAAATTCACTTACTATTCTGTATTTTTTTAAAGTAGAGTTTAAGTGAACTTTTTCTCAACAATATTACTTAGACTCGAAAATAATAACAATCAGAGAATCACTTAGACTCATTCTGACTTAAATATTGTTTCTGCACTTTATTATTTTAACCTTTCTAATTAACAACAATTATTCTTGCAGTTACGCTTTGCTTGCCTCCACATAAGGACTTTTCAAGAGTAGTTAGAAACAACTGTAATAGGTTTAGTTTTGGGACCTTAGATGGTTGCCAACAATGTGTAATATTCATAAGGGTTTGTAATATTAATTTAGTATGAGTAGGGTTTGCAGGTATGCTCAACTTAAGGCCCAGGTATGAACTCATTTCACACTTCTTCCATTATTATCATGCATTGCAAAACTTAGAAAAATAACATTAAAAAAAGAAACTTTATTCAAAGTTAAATAAAGTAGGTCAAAAGATCCCTAATACATTTGTAACTCATATAAGTAATCTAGCTATACAATGTACAACTTAGTATGTCTTTTTCCTATGCTCCAGTCGTAGTTGATCCAGGCATCCTACTGCGTTCATTTCGGGCTGATCTGTATTTACCTGAAAAACAGGAAAATTTGTATCAAAAACTGTGATAAGTAGTCTATTCCCTTTTCATTCACAAACATCATGAGTTTGGCTCCCATATTCGTAGAACACTTCAACTTGATGAACCTGCAAATTTTATCAAAGCCGTACACATAGGACCCTGTAAGCGCAGTAAGATTTTATCAAGTAACAAACCTGGTGACAAAACATAGATAATAGATATAGATGATTAAAGCAACAAATAGTCTTTCATCCCAAATCTAGAGTGTCCTTGTGCTAGTGTTCGAACACATCCAAAACAGTAGTTTAGGCACACATAGCCTTAAAACAGCAAAAGAGATTTTTTAAACAATGTCTTGGTAAATGACTCCTTAGTTTCCCTAAACACCGGGTTCCTGTTTGATTTTCATCTTGAGCTTCTTCAGTTTTCCATTGGTAGAAAACTCATCATTCAGATTGCGTTTGATTTCATCAGTCAGCTCAACTTCAACCTCCCTCTGAGTGCATTCTGGTGGAGTATCTGGTAGGTCAATAGGAGAACGGTCCTGATTTTAAAAAACTGTTAGTATGGAACACCGAAAACCCTTTTCTTGCATTTGTAAAATAACTATGTTTATACCTCTTTCTCAGCTGAAACATGTTTACCCTTCCTTGCTATCTTTTCTCCAATGCTTGCGCTTGAGCCAACCTGGTTATTAAAAAGTTTTGATGTTCAGTATTTACTTCGAACCTAAACCGTCAAACATTTATATATTGTTTTTACCTTCTCTGGGGTCGTATCATCTTTGGCTGTCTGTTCCTTCTCATCCTCTACGTACAATGCAACAACAGAGGCGGTCCGAATCATAGATACAATTCCCCTAGAAAAAGTTCCCTTGTAAGTATTTTCGTCAGATCTTTTCTTTATCTGAATTCTGAAAAGTGCTTTTTGGTCAATCAAACTCTCAATCTCTTCAGGAAACCTTGTTGTGTCTCCAGTTTTCTGTTTTTGCAAAATTAAATTGATCAAGTTTCAGAACTAATACACAAATGCTTTGAAAACATTTATTTGTAAAGGTACCTTCTCCAATTCAAGCATCAAACTTTCTGATGTTTTCCCAAAGAAATCTATGCATTCTCTGTCCCACAGGGTAAATGTAGCATGTCCCGTGTTGTCCATGAGACAAATGCTGACCTTGTAGCTGTAATTTTTTTTGTTAAATCTTTAGCAACATTAAACCATACACAGTGTATAAGCTGTTATGAAACATTCACCCACCGATAAACACCCTCAGCCAGTGTCTCATTACAATTAGAACATCGAAATCTTTCTTCCTCAGGTTTCAGTTTCTTGTTGCACGTTGGGCAGCTGAGGTAACACCATTCTCGAAAATTTTCTATGGAGACTATGTCTCCAAGCACCCAGTAAAACCCTTCCTGCATGTCACAACACCCATATTAATGCATTTTTATATTATTAATCTTTGAAAAGTTAGTAGATTCATTTCTTAGATGTTATGCCACCCACCTCGGTTGTGTTAAGCAAAGTGTTCATAGTTGTTATGTTTGCATGCCCGCTTAGGATATCATCCCCAGTTTCATCACCCTGTGTGGTTTGTGTGACAGTCGTTACCGTCATATTGTCATCACCGTCACCCGGAAATCTGTGACCCTTAGAATGTTAAGAGCTTTTCCATATTGGAACTTTAGGGTTGAAATCATAGAGGCTTACTCGCTTATGAAGTCCAGAAACTCTGTAGTTGTGCCATTAATTATCAGTTTTGACACATCAAAAGAAGATGATACAGACAGGGCACCTGTAATATGAAATTGTTTTAGTTGGAAAAAAACCTTTTGCTATAACAAAATAGTAGAAGATAATTGTTCATACCCTGATATCTTTTGGGCCTGCAAAGCTGAAATATTATATAAACTGCTTCATCAAGATGCTGAGTAGCATATTCCACGTACTGGGTTATATATTTATTCCACAGCACACAACCAAGTCTGTTGCCCCTGTAATAATGTGGATACGTATGCAAAGTTATGGACCATCAAAATGCTTTAGAAGGTTCACAACCAAGTCAGTAGTTACTTTTTTAAAAAAATATATACATACTCAGGGTCACCCAAAGTTAGCTCCATCAATCTTTCAGTCTTTCCATTGATAATGTGTGTTTGAACTGGGCTTCGACAAATGACCTTACCAATCACATCTGCCAAATAAAAGTCAACATATTTAATTCTCTACGTTTACACAAAAGCATTTGATAAAAAAATACCCCTACCAATGAGTTGTCTGTCATTGATCACCCTTTGCTCTTGAAGCAAACCAAAATGTTGAAAGTCATACAAAAACATAGGTAGTTCCGTCTTGTCTTCCCTGAGTGCAGTCTTGCTTATGAACTGTATTAAATAAGGATGTGGAGTTGTTTTCACTGTCTGGTAGTTGTCCAACACTAAAAAGTTCCTCAGTGCATACACTTGGTGTTCCTTGATCAAAGGTCTATACATTGCCAACTGCGGCCTCTTTACAGTTGCGTGAATACGATCGCCCTATAAAAATTTTTAAAAATTACTTCCTCTGTAAGAATGTAGTTGGTAATACAAAGTTTTAGACCATTACCTCTGCATCATGCAGCACCATCTCAAGGGTCTCACCACCCTTGGAATGGGGAGGCACCTCGTAAACTCGCACAACTCTTACCCTCAAAGCCCAGGTGGTCTTTGTGTGATCAATGTCTTTGATCAGGGACCACATTCCGGTTTGGGTTGATGGACATGCCATTGGAGCAGATTTGGTGCTTGATGAACTTGTTAATTGCTTGGTGGTGGTGTTGTCTGAAACCCATTTGAGTGTATTTATAGGTGGTGAATGGTTTGGCTGTTCGAAAATAAGGGGGTTATTGACCATAGGTCCATTAACGAAATCTGTCCAAAAGATTTTATAGTACACTTATTAAATGTAAAAACAGCTACCAGCTCTTTGAAATTTATTGTAACTCTGCCATTTGGATTTGTGAATGACAATTAAAGATTTTAGAGTACACCCTCATTAATTCGAAGTGACCCTAGCCCATTTTTTAAATTGAACTTGGTCCTTTTTTTACTCTCTGCTCCATTGCAAAACGTGCAGCCCATCTTTGATATACTTTTGCCCATCTTTGATATACTTTTTATTGAGCCTCACAAATGCTTTATTGGTTAACGGTCATGCATTTAATGCCAAGCAATTCTAACTCATCAGCAAAGTAAATTCTCAAATCGAAAAGAACAAAGCATTGAATAAGCTGCCAGACCCGACCCGCCACCCGTGCGACCCGACCCCGCCTTTGATTGGACTGTTTTGAGCGGGAATTCTGGCCAGATTTTCTCCTATTGTTGTATAATAGAAGATGATTTAATTTACAAACGACTCACCCGATTACATCTTACGTTTCTCATCTCAGCTCAACACTTTCAAGCTTCCATCGATGGTCTTCACTCCACCACCCATGACCTGCGCAAAGCCGCCACAGGATTCTCGTCGGTCATCCACTTCCCACCATCGCCATAGTAGATCTATCTCCTTCTTCACTATCGCCACAGTCTGCAATTTCTGACGTTCTTCTCCTTCTCTTTTTCCTAACCGGCGATTGGGATGGAAATCGGCCGCGATTTCTATCTGAGGCGGCGGATGGAGGGGATTGAGGTCGACAATGCGTCGATGCCATCTGCCTGAGGACGAGGTGACAGGATTTGGCCGGCGGTTGAGGTATTGTTGCGGTAAGCCAGGTGGGCCAGACGGCTTGGTGAGATCTGTGACGTTATGCGGCGCTCCGGCGGGTGATCGAGATTCAAATCGATTGGTTAGGGTTGGGGTTCGTTGGAGGTATTGTGGTGGTTTGGGGTGGGATTTGGGGCAGGGGAAGGTATGGAGGGGGCTAGGGGCTATGGAGGGGGTACGGGGGCTGGGGAGGGCAGTGGTAAACGGTCACAGTAACATGTTTTCCGGCGGCAGTGGCATCGTACGACCGGAGGTGACATTAAAATATAATAGTGACATTCGTAAGTGGCATTAAAATCTGATAGTGACAATTAGTAGTGACATGAAAAAATCAAAGTGACATAAACAAATTACAGTTACATTAAGATGATGGTTACTGAAACGTTAGTAACTAAGACGATGTCACTGGAGCGATAATTGTAACTGAGACGGTTGTCACTTGAGCGTAACTAACTGAGACGATGTCACTTGAGCTATAATATTAACTGGGACGGTGATCACTGGAGCGTTAGTAAGTGAGATGATGATCACTAGAGCGATAATTGTAACTGAGATGGTTGTCACTAGAGCGGTAGTAACTGAGAACTAAAATGATGGTAATTGGGACCGCTTTGACACGAATTGTAGTGTAATAATTTTTTTTATTTAAGACTACATACGGTCTATCTTGAGGGAAAAAATTAAAATCAAAAGAAGCATTAAAAAATTTTTTAAATAAAAAATCATTAAATAATTTTAAATCAAAAGAAGTGGACATAATTTTTGGAGAGTACAGTGACCATTTTTGGAGATTTTACAATGTGTATCATGAATATGGAGCATTTCTAATACGGAGTATTACTCATGTCGGTGTGAAGCTATGTGGACCGAGTGTTCAACAAGCAGGAGGGGAATTTAGAGAAGAATGTTTTTATTAGTCATACTTTGAAAATTAAGATAAAAGGTCTCTTTTTTGTTCATGGCTTATTGTTTAGTAATATTAGAGACAAAAACCCACACAAAGTATAAACTATAAAGCTTAACCGAGCAGCGGGTTGTGAGGTTACCGGTGAATGTGAGATCTCGGGTTCGAAACCCACTAGCACCAAAAAGGGAAGATGAGGGAGGTCTTGCTCCCAATTATTCTTCCTACCTTAACGGAGTTGCTCAGCGGCTAAGAAGGGAGATGATGGAAAATGCAGATAGTGGGTCTGCGTGGTAGGAGTACCACCCTGTTGCGGCTTGGAGCACAGGTGATGGATGTCCGATCCTGTTGGATTCGTCTTGTGAAACCAGTACTGATGAGGCTGACTGTGATCAGATCCGGATTTAACTGTCTAGAGGCTTTGGAGGGTAGTTCATAGACTCCAGGATTAGGGAAGCGTAAGCACCGACACCAGGATCAACAAAAAAAACTATAAAGCTTTATTTTTTACGTTTGAAGTCCTTTTTCCGATTGGTCCTTCTTTTGAGTCTTGTACTCAGGAAGAGATTAGGAATCGGAAGTGTTTTAAATGGACATTTGAATTCTCAATTTAATACGTTATGTACAATAATGATGGGGTAAAAAATGAAAGGTGATGTGGAATACCCAAGTCATTCATTATGAACTGGTTCGGTTCTGGTTGTTGGGGTAAAATATATCGTACACGGTACAGCCGGTCTTCTCCTTGCTCTTGGCCTTCTGTGCGCTTCTTCCGATCTAGTTTCACTTCTTCGATCTAGCTTCGCTACCTTCCATCACTATTCGCCGGCTGTTTGTTCGATCGTTCGCTTCGCTATTCGTTGTCTCCTTATCGCTTGTCATTGCTCATGGATGAACGACAAACTGACCACTCGCAATTCTCCAGCAAGAATGCAACACTCAGACTTCGGCTTGCGCGCAGCTCTAGCGGGTGTATAGGGTTGCACTCTTTCTTTCTTTTTTGAACTCTTTTCATTTTTTCTTTTTTCTTTGGTTTGATGAGTTTGGTAACTTGTTTGGCTGCAACTTAGGAAAAAACTAAGTTATACGTAGTTGTACATGTATGGGCATACACAAAAGAAATTTCGAGCTTAATACACATTTTAAATGAGTTTTTATTTTATTTTTTGAATGCTCATTTCATAATTTGTGTATACTCATTTGATATTAGTGTAATACTCATTTTAAAATGTCACATTCATGCATATTTCAAAAATATAATATTACAACAGGAGTCTAATTTGTTGCTAAGGAATCCTTTTTTATGTTGATCTCAAATGAGCTTTATATTAAACTCAAATGAGTATACGTCTAAAAATGAATATTGAGCACATTAGAAATGAGTTTATGTTAAACTCAAGTGAGTTTAACGCCCAAAATGATGAGTACACATAAATGAGCTTTTTAATTTTTTGATAATCGCCAAGTACCTTGTGGTCTGATGGCATCACTGTGGCACTCCCAAGGAGGAGGTCACAGGTTCGAATCTCATCTCACTTCAAGGATGTTGGCATTAACATTGAGCAGATACTATATAAGTTAGATAGAATTGTCCAAAAAAATTGATAATCATTTGGTAAGTTACGTATGCTAATTTGGTACTGCTTTATGCTCATTTTAAAAAGTTGCACATTTCAAACATATCATACTACATTAGATTCACATATTAAAATTAATTGAAATTGATTATAGACATAATTTATGAATGTTAATGATCGAAAAAATAATAAAGAGAAAGTGATATATAAGGAATGAATCAGAGATCACTGATGTTCAATGGTAGGCTCCTAATACTCAAAAGAACAAGCTCGATGCTTATCAAAATTGCATCAATGCTCATTTAAGAAAATCACAAGTTTGCCATCAATTGTACGGCTGGCACCGTACAACCGGTTGTGAGATATACGCTTCCGGTTGTTGGACTATAATTTGTTAAAGGCTTGGCTCCAAATCCTTACCAGAGGTTTAATCTTATATTCTCATTCAAAATGTGTTACCCCAACCGTTAAAGAATGTTTTTTTATGAATCACCTATATTGGTCTCTAAATGACGACTTGGTTGAATTGCAGTGATGATTCTGATGAAGTAATTCACCTCAGGGTTATCAA